TAAAACAGGACTAAAACAGGATTTAACAGGACTAAATCCTGCTGTGTGGACGTGTCTCCTCCTCTTCTATCAATAATATTTTTTATTTGGTTCAGTAAAGTCTGGGCTTTTTTATTTTCTTTTAGCAGATAAAACATCTTATGTTACAATATCCTCGTCTTTGTTTCTCTACAGCAAATCAAGTAATCCAAAGTATTCAGATTACGTTACTCACTTTAAGTAATTTAATGGATTACGTTACAAACTACATTTGGAGTATGTAATCTGTAATCTGTAGGGGAATACATTTTAAAAGGAACCTTCCCAACACTGGCTGGGACTTTTGGACCGTGTCGTGCGTGTGGTTCTGTGGCCCGTGTTCACACCTGTGCGGCCGATGGCGTCATCGCACGGCCGTTTGTTTGCATGTTGTGCAATGGAGCTGGTGCTGTTGGCGGGGAGGGTGGGTACAGTGGCGTGAAGTGTCTATTAAGCGGTGGGACCGATGTTGTGGTGCTCGCTCTGCTGTTTGCGGTGTGCGCTCCGCTGTGGGTTTGTGGATGTGGAGAGAGGCTGTGGAGCTTCTGTCATCTGGTTTTTAAGATTTTGTATTATTTGGAGATGATAAACGAGCCTAAATGTTTCAAACATAACGCACATGCTTCCATATAATATCAAATATACAAACTGTAGATTGTGCAGAGTCGAGTCTCAGGTCTGATCTGATTCTGGTCTGGTTCCTGTTTTGTCCAGTTCATTCAGTTTATTAAGTTACACATTCCAAGACCAGACTGTGAAAAGTTAAGATTTTCAACAATGATGGTGCAGGGTTAGAAAAGTTAATTAAAAAACTCAAAGTTTTGGACATTTGATTTTTCACATTAAGTAGACAATACTACACATTGAAATCAATACAGTCTGATCCCCACACACATTCTGGATCTTATTCTTTGCTCTTAGTTCATTTTATAATGTTTTATAGAAGTATCGGATCGGGACTCGGTATCGGCAGATAGTCAAAATCAAATGACTCGAACACGCGGGCAAAAAAATGTGATCGGGACATCCCTATCTAAAGGTGTAAGGGTAAAGTGAAGAAAGTGTTACAGATGTAAATAGATTAAGGAACTAGACCTCCTAAATAAAACACAACTCCAGGTACACTACTGGCTACAAGTTTTAGAACACCACACTTTTTCCTTTTTTTTTTTTTTTTATTTTTTTTACTGTTTACTGTTGACTTTTGATTCATGAAAGTATCCACCTTTGGCAGATATAACCGCTGAACACACTTGTGGTATTCTTTCTACAACAGAAATCAAATAATCTTCAGAAAGTTGCTTGGCTTTCGTTCTTCTCTCCAGTTCACCCCAAACCAGCTCGATGGGGTTTAAGTTTGGGACTGTGCTGGACACTCCATGTTTTCAAGCTTATCATCTTGTTCTTTTTTCCTGAGGTAGTTTTGGCAGAGCTTGGACTTGTGTTTTGTATCTTTTATCTTTTTTGCCGGCGTCAGCGAGGACCGGGGCGACGACCGTAGTTTTGCAAGGATTCACGTGGTTCAGAGGGACAAAGTTAGCCTGATTCACTTTGTGGAAACCGTTTGACCTCGCAGCGTGAGGATTTGTTCGCTCAATAGTAGTTGGGTAGTTTTTTATTTAATCAATCGCTGCTATTTGGTCATGATGTATGTAATGCGCCAAATCCCATAGGAAGAAGGGCAATAACGTCTTTCCCCTTGATAAAATTCACCAAACATTCTCTTTGTTCCGGCTTTAAATACTCGATCTCAGGAATCGTTGCCAACACAAAATGTCTGTCTTCGTCTACATCCATCTTTACCGCTTTATTTACTGTTGTGCTGTACCACAAAAGGGACCCAGACCGGAGCTTGGGTCATTGAGTTCTACATCAACTCTTCACTGATTGGCCTGTTTACAACTTCCGGGGATCTTGCCAGATCCGGCCCTCCAAGACCTTTAATCTGGCCCTTGGCTGATTTCTACTCATCTATTTTAATTATATTTTCTATTAAAATATTGGTCATTTTCTGTGCTGCTTAGCATAGCAGTGTTTGATCGTTTTGACTTTTGACCATGACACCCTCATCAGCAAAATGTCAAAAATGAGAAAAGTGGAGCCGAGTGCAGGATTTTCCAAGAAAAATTGACTTATTCCTATTTACATACAAGTTCATGTTAAAACATTGTGTTGAAATTGTATTTTTCTTAAAGTTTCAGGTTGTTCATGATATTATAATATTTTGTAAAAGAAAGAGTTCATCAAATAAAAAAAGATTTCTGTAATAGATTTGTGTTTCTCTGCACAAATATTTGAACTTATTGTTATTTTTGGGGTTTATATGACATGAGTTTTCTGATCCGGCCCCTTTGGGATCAAAGTAGGTTGGATACGGCCCCCGGACCAAAATGAGTTTGACACCCCTGATTTAGTGTATTGTGATTCCTGACCTACTCACTGGAGAGAAATAAAACTGAGAGGAGGCACTAGGTGGGATATTGTCAAGGTGAGGGTCAATTGTTGTCAAGAGAGCCGCCCTAACTATAAAGCACTGGGGGAAACCCTGAATATGGACCATTTAAACTGGCTTAGAAAATTTGGAGCTGTACTCACACAATCCTCATGTTTATTGTTACCAATTTTGGTACTGACCAGCTTCGAAATCACTCTGAACTTTTTGTTTAAAGACACCATTTTGAGTACTTTTCATCATTCAAAACAGAATATTATGTTAACCACTATGACAACACTGCAAATTTTCAACACGCATGTTTTGTCACGCCTGGTCACGCCTCCACACCTGTATCTACCGCACCGGTCCCCGTTCACATCTCCATTGAGTCACTGAGCACGTTGCAGCGTACGTGACTCCGCCCCCTCCATCTGTCCTACCTGATGGATCTGGCTGTGGTTTGTCCTGTGTGTGAAACTAAAAGGTTTTTCTCTTCCTCGCTCCTCTCAGCTCCACACCCCATTAACCAAAGCCCGGTCCAGTCCAGAGACCACTGCTGCACCGGGCTGATCTGAACTAGCTGCAATTATCTCCTGAAGTGGCTCTAAATCATGTTTCAGAACGTTCACAACAACAAGGAGGGAGATTGGATTTGGCCGGTGTGTTGGTGAAGTGGGATCCATTCTCACCGTTCAGTCCTGGAGTGGATTAATGGATATGTTTGTATGCACGTAGAAAAAAAAAAAAAAAAAAAAATTGAACATCTTTCTCAGCTTATTTTGATAAGTTGAATTGACAAATGAACTGAACAAATGGTGTTGTGGTTTTGTGGTTTGGGTGATGGATGTGCACCGGCGGCCAACGACTCAATTTGAGCGGAACTACTCACTGCTTGGTTTTTGAATTTTCACTTGTGGATGGGAAATATGTTTCTCTCAACAGGTTTTAAGATCTGTGCAACTTTTTTTTTTTATGGGGGTTCTGCCACCTGCTTGTCTCCATGGAGATGTCGTTGCTATGAATATTCTACAGCATGGTATTAATTATTTCTATCTAACTGTGGTCATACCGGCTCATCACAGCAGTGAAGCCGGGCCTGGGCAGTACTTAGACAGGAGGCCTCAGAATATCAGCACCAGTGGTCAAAACTGTTATTGGGTCATTAGGCAAGACACTTCACTCACATTGCCTCGTATGAAAGTAGTATGTGCGTGAGTGACGGTCGTGGTCGAGGGGCCGATGTCGCATCCCTGGCATCTCTGCTTCCATCAGTCTGTGGCTACAATAGTGTCATATTCCCTGCCTGCAGTCTTCCATAATATGCCATAAAATGTATCTATCACCATGGAGAATGTTTCAAAGTATGGTTTTAAGTTTCCTTTGCCGAGTTTCACTCACGTGATCCTGATGACGTGTGAAATTCAGATGGGGGGCAGGAAGTGTTTTGCTCCGCTTCAAAACACAGCACAGTGGGTAATGGTGAGTACGCTCAAAGTTTGAACAAACCAGCACAGACCCGCTAATGAAAAAATAAGTCTAAATGTAGGTTATGACCCGTACGATATGGAGAAGTCAGACTTTTCATACAATTTGGATGATTTTCCCGGCATTGAGGCGATGGATATAATAAATGATCTGGTGCTGCAGATCTCGTATTACACTGAGTCAAATAAAAGCCTTTGAAATCCTGGAGGAGTACAACTATTTAGAATTAGTAGGATAACCTACAATAATGATTAAAAAAAGTATAAAACACCAATTACAAATGACAGCAGTAAGCTAATAAAATTAGCAAAACATAAAGCTTTTTGCATGACAAGTCAGGACCTGTAATGCAACAGTTTACTGTCATTTACCAAGCTTGTCTTTCTAAATAATTGTCCAAAAAAAAAAACTTGAAAATATTCATAATTAAATTATACAATCCTTACCTGTTGCAAAGTGGTCGCTGCCAACTTGCCTCCTGTTTTTAGCTGGAGATTGTCAATGCACTTTTGTCAAGTTTTTTTTTTGTTTTTTTAACTCCCTTGTGACACACCACTTTCTGTATCCTCAAAAAATGTTTTTCTTTCTCCCAATTACAGCGGCTGCAGCAACCATAGACTGCACAGATTTTACTCAGTGCATTTTGGTGCTGAGTTAACAGTGGTAAACAGGGTTCTGTGTGTCTGTCTTTACTTCCTGACCCCATCTTCTTTTGGTGACATCGAACATGACGTCATCTGAAACCCAGCAACTGGAATCATCCAGGTGTCTGATCAAGTACTCCAAGTACTCCTTTAACTTTGGAAAAGTAACTGTATTTTGAATACCACCCAATGAAAAAGTAACTGTACCGGAATTACTAAACTTTAAATTAGTATTCAGAGTAAGTATTCTCAGTACATCTCTTCAGTTACTTCTCAGCACTCATAGGCAAGGCTGTGTAAATTGTGTAAATGCCATATTACTGAAAATCCCTGCAAAAAAATAACATCTCCAATCAACTCAAACAGGAACAGCACGTATGCCTAACTTGTTTGCTAACTCTGTTCTCCTTCTGTTGCAGGCCCACATCGGCCCGAGCTGCACCTGTGTTGGGGAAGGTAAGACACGTTTTTACATTTTACTAAATCATCATAATCCAAGGCGTATGGCTGCAGTATCACAGCCAAAATAGCTGTTTGGATTTTTGCAAATATCAAACCACAAGAAGTGCAGTTTAACGAACATAATGTCCTCTGCAAAGGACAGCATATTCCTCATTATTTACACCGAAAATCTGCTCACCCTGTACTTAAGATCTCTACAAACAGGTTCTGAAATGCACAGGATTCTTGTATTAGTTCAGCAGCGTGCTTGAAATGTGTACTTTAAACAGAATTCTAACTTCAAACACCAATAGCACATCTAAGCCCTGTTTGAGATGTAAGTCAAACAAGTCCAACTAAAGAAGGATTTGTACCATTTTAAAGTGGGAGAGAGGCTGAACCCTGGCAGGCAGTTACCAGACTTATAAACATACACACAAAAAGTACATCTGGCCTTCACTCAGAAATGAACAGCTTTCCAAAAAATACATGTAAGTGTATAACTTTGATTGGTAGATTTGAATCTCAGGGTTAATTGATATGACTCCCCCAAATGGTGTACTTATTTAGAGAACTGCTATTGTACTCAGAGAACTGCAGCAGCTACTGTAGACAGTGTTGTGGGCAGTGTTGGGAGTGACACGTTATAAAAGTAACAAATGACTGTAATGCATTGCTTTTTGCTGTAACGCAGTAATGTAAGGCCTGACAGGGAAAAAAGTGGTGATATTTTACTCGGTACAAATGTCAATAACGCGTGTTACAATGCTTTATTAACCTGGATTGAAGTGGTGGGTGTTTTGTTTTTCTTCATACTAATTTGCTAAAATCACCGTGATATCAGCAGCGGTGAAGCCTGATCGTGCTCAGGGTTCTCTCAGGGGCAGTCCTAGATTCCAAGTTCTAGTCCAAGATTAGTCCTGGTTTAGACCTGGTTGAGACCTGGTTTAGTTCTGGTTTATTCCTGTTTTAGCCCTGGTTTAGTTCTGGTTTAGACCTGGTTTAGTCCTGGTTGACACCTGGTTTAGTCCTGGTTTAGTTCTGGTTTAGTCCTGTTTTAGTCCTGGTTTATTCCTGTTTTAGTCCTGTTTTAGTCCTGGTTTAGACGTGGTTAAATCCTGGTTCAGTCCTGGTTTAGTCCTGGTTTAGTTCTGGTTTAGTTCTGGTTTAGTTCTGGTTTTGTCCTGGTTTTGTCCTGGTTTTGTCCTGGTTTAGTCCTGGTTTAGACGTGGTTTTGTCCTGGTTGAGACCTGGTTTAGTCCTGGTTCAATTCTGGTTTAGTCCTAGTTTATTCCTGTTTTAGTAGTGGTTTAGTCCTGGTTTAGACCTGGTTTAATCCTGGTTTAGATGTGGTTTAATCCTGGTTCAGTCCTGGTTCAGTCCTGGTTCAGTCCTGGTTCAGTCCTGGTTTAGTCCTGGTTCAGTCCTGGTTTAGTCCTGGTTTAGTCCTGGTTCAGTCCTGGTTCAGTCCTGGTTTAGTCCTGGTTCAGTCTTGGTTCATGTGTTGTAGTCTATGATCTATGTTCTGTAGGTGATTATAAAATCCCCTCTACACCACTGCTTGAAGTTAAACTGAAAGTAAAAACTACTTCAAACAAAGTGTTTATTTTGCAGCACATTTCCTAATCTGTTAAAAAAGGAAATATTTGAAGAGTTGTCAGTTATCTACACTTTAGCGCCAGTGCATGTAGACTCGACTGGGACAAGAGCCGTCTGTCCAAAAAAAAAAAAAAAAACTAAAAAAAGAAAATTGTGGATTTATTATGGCTAACTTTCCAGCAGAAATGGTTGTTTTTCCCTCCAGCATACAGCACCATAAAATGACCTCTCCGTGGAACTGAGAGAAGCAAAACTCGGCACTAAGAAGCTTGCCCATCTCATATCTCAGTGTCCCTTGGTTCACCGTTGCAGTCATAAAATGTTAATGTATTGAAGTCTGGACTCTGCGTGGTCCCGTGTGTGTGCCTAAAAACAGTTTGAGATGCAGGAAGAGGCGCATTACCACATCCCGCAGACAGGAGGCGGTAACATCAGGGGTTTGACCTGTCTCGCTGGATTGAGATTATTGAAATGATGGACTGACAGGGCTTTGTAAACAGCAACTTGGACTTGTGTTTTTGGCTGTTCTGTTGACAAAAAAAAAAAAAAAGCGCTACCAGTCAAAAGTTTGGACTCACCCTTTTTTTTCCCCCTATAAGTTTACTACTTTTTACATTTGATATACATACAGAAATACAGAAAACATCAAATATATGAAGTAAGGTGTATTGAATTATGTTGCAAAGAAATAAAAAGTAAAATGTTTAATTTTCAAAATTATTTTATAACCAAATTTTCAAACTTTTGACTGGTGCTGTTTAAAGTGCCTGTGCCAGGTTAGACTACTCATTTGACTAAAATACAGTTAAGATCTTTAAGATTTTAGCAAAAAATCATTCACTTTTGTTTGCCCAATTTGGCCTTTTTTATGGTTAAAATGTTGGAAAACTTGACATCACACTAAGGAATTCTATAACTGTTCCCTCGCAAAACTCCTCTTACGTACACATATAAATAATTACCCGATGAACTAGGGCTGGGCAAAAATAAAAAATATTAATCACATTAATCACATCAGTTTGAGTGCGATTAATCGCAATTAATTACATGTTATACGCAAAACCAATTAATGAATTAAAAAGTAGCCTATAGCGCACTTATTGGAAATATCAACGAAAGAGCCACACATTTGTTGTGCAAACAGCATTTCTTTCAGAGTGGAAACCTCAAGAAAAAAATATTGAACGAATTTTTGTACTAACATATTTTTTCAATATTTTTTTATTCAGTGAGTAATAAACACTACCCTAGTAATAATTTGTAGATCAGTGTTATAAACTTGGACTAATATTTCTTGGGAAACGTCATACGGTGAAATATCGTATCGTGAGACTTGGAATCGTTACACCCCTAGTCCAAACCTTTGACTGGTAGTGTGTGAAATGGGAATACAGATATCTGTGTATTTTTTACAGACATGATCGTACAATCATCTGTTTATTTTAGTGACAAATGTGAAATGAAGGCGCTCATTGGTCACAGTCATTTTAAATAAAATGGCATTTCTCTCACCTCAAGTTAACGCGCCCATATTACGCTGTTTTCTGATCCATGTTATAATGTTGTTTCCTCATCAAAAACAGACCTAGAGTTGTGTTTTCTTTCGTTGATTAACAGACAAACCTGCATATTTAATCTGAGTTCTTCTCTTAAACAGAAAACACTCCGTTCCACCTTGTGATGTCATGCGGTAATACAAGAAGTGCTCAACTGTGTTTTTAAACTCTATGCACCTTCACTGGATTTGGATCATTTCAGCCTTCTCTACTGAACTAAAGGTAAAAAGTAGCTTGAAAACTACCACTACATGACATCACAAGGTGGAACAGAGCATGAAACAAAAAACTCCAGATATGTTTTTGAGGAGGAAACAACATTACAGTATAACATAGATCAGAAAATAGTGTAATATGAGTCCTTAAAAGTTAAAATGACTGAACTGACGGGACACTCAACTTATTTTGATAGATTTTTGCATTTGTGTTTTGACGGCGTAATCAACAAGCAAGTCAGGTTTCTCAATGGACTCTGCTTATTTCAGTCACTTATTCATTCTCTCCTGTCATTTCACTACAAAATTACAAAAGGCCATAATTGGATCTGAGTTTGTACAAAAGCACAATCAGTCAGAATCTGTATAAATACAAAAACTCTCCAGGCTCAGTTCATAATCACTTTTTAAGTACTGGTGACACAACATGGTCTTGGTCAAAATTACCGTTCAAACGTTGAGTAACACAATGAATTTTTATTTTGAATCTTTTTTTAAGGGTGGGTTTATAGTGGACATTGAGTTAACCAGTCTACCTTTTAGTGTTTTAGTGTTTCGAGACAGACTCTTAAATGGGGGACTAGGTTTCTCTGACTAAATAGGCCTGGGGGATTATAGGTACTATCATGTCCAGGATTTAAAAAAAAATACTCAATAGGTGTTACCGGATTTTCTGGACTACAAGTCGCTCTGGAGTATAAATCGCACCAGCCAAAGAATGCGCAATGAAGAAGAAAAAAACATAAGTCGCACTTTTTGGGGAAATGTATTTTATAAAATCAGAGACCAGGAACTGACATTTCATTTTGAAAGGCAAGTTCTAGTAAAAACAACAAAACAGAGAAGAGGCTGAACAGGCGTTAATATGTTAATGTAACATATTAATAACAGTTATTCAGATAATTATAGCTTAAACAACAGAACATAAGTTTCCCAAACTCACGATCTCACTCCAAATCACTAAATCCATTGAATTCTTCATCCTCGGCGTCACTTCTGTGCGACCTCAGGAGATAAACCATAGATCCCTGATGTAAATGAAGCGCCGCTTCCTCTTCTGTGTAGTTGTCGTCACACTCAGCATCAGTTCCAGTTAGAATTAAAAGTTAAAACGCTTATATAGAGCGTTTTGATAACTTATAGATAACTTATACCAACTAAAGTCTGGAGGAGTACTGATGGTTTCCTCCCCATTTTTATACCGATTCTCCTAAAAGCTGCCAATACACCATTATACGGTAGCTACAAGTTACAAACATGTTCATTAAGTTCTGCGGTCGTCTGGAACATGTCAAATACATCTGCATACTTCAATATGCCTTAGAGATAAGTTTGATATAAGTTACACATAGGTTCAAAACACGTTACTCATAAGTTATGTGTACGCTAGACATTATCTCAACATATTTGGACTTATGAGTAATTTACAATTAACGTGTGTCAACGATCACATAACTTACCTACAACTTATGGCCAGCGTATGCAGGACGTATAAACATACTGTAAGCAGACATATGTCGCCGTATGTCAGCGTGCTTCAGTGTGCTCATAACTTATACAATACTTACCTAGAACTTATCCGACGTATCCACACACTTTTGCATCACCGTATGCATGCAGACTTCCTCCCAAAAACCCTCGTCTA